GCTCCTCTCTCTTTCTCTCTCAGTTTTCCTCATGGCTGCTGCTCCTTCCTCCTGGGCAGTCCTTAACTTATATAGCCCTTATGACCTCATTTCCCTGGTCCAATGGAGGCCAGCACCTGTTGGCTGTCAGCCAACCAATTTGAAATGCATCACTGGTTGTTGGATACACTGGCAGTCTCTAGCCCACCAGGGTGCCCAAGCCCTTCATTCAGGTATGTGATGCCAGTCACGTAGGCAGAGGGAGTAATTTTTCCCCCTCCCTCAGGCAGGACTGTATCCAGCTCAGGTTACCTAAAGAGATATAGGGTAAGGTGTGTACCCTCTGCTGGGCCCATCCTAACCAAATTGTCACAGAGCAGAGTTTTTGGGGAGAAACAGAGGTAGCCTTCTGCCACATTGAGCTTTCCAGATTAGATGGGGTGCTAGCCGAGTTGATGCTCTGATAAGTGTTGAGTCACCACCATCTTAGGTACTCTGGCATCTACTCTAATAAGGGTCTCACAATATTGTTAATTGGTGGGAGGAGATGAAATGGGGTTGACAATAGGTAGAATGCGTTTATGTGCTTAAGTGTAAGGGGAAAAGGAAAGATGCTCTCGGTATCTCTTTCAGTAACTGTGGTCAAGATGTTCATAGACTTCTACTGATTTATGATGCTTACTGTTTTGGGGACCACTTCTGGATATCTTAAGAGAGGCCAATTTTTTTTGCTAAAAGGTCTGAGCAGCTGTCCTCTGAAAAAAAGCCAAACTTCTCTGTAGTTTCCTACCAATTAAAGAAAGGCTTGAGGAGTAATTAAAAAAAAAATCAAATTTTGTTTCTGCTTGAACTCTGTCCCTATATTAGTTTCCTGAAACCTCCTGCCAGACTGGAAGCTATTCATCCAAAAGAAACAATAATAGATCCCAGTGCTTCAGAATCTATAATTCTTCATTTGGGATTCTTAGTCAATAAGGTACTTCAGATAAAAAGCACCCCAAAGAAGCAAGGCCATTAACCTTTTTTGGCATACACCATCCTCTCTCTGTCGTTAAGCTACTGCTTAGAATTTGGAGGATGTAAAAAGTTGAGTAAGTTGAAGATGGCTATTTCTTTCCCAGTAAAGTGAAGGGTAGAGGGAGGGGGAGGAAATAGCTGCATCGAAAACTATGAAACTGAGGATCAGGGTAAATTAAAGAAACTCTTTAATTAAGGCGCTGTCACCATTTTGAACCAAATTGAATATTTCTGATGTTCACAGAATTTTTCAAACCCTCCTGCACTTCCTAACTTCCAGTATATATGGTAAAGCAGAATCCTTATCAGAGGTGCTAATTTAATAATATTTTTAACCCGCTAGAAATCAGAAATTACTGGCCACTTTGTGAAACAGCCTTATTGTCCGAGGCTTTTGTAATAAAAAATAGTGCTTATTCACACCGTTCCTTAGAGTGTTTAAAGACATGCTTTGGGAAGTTGGGGGGTAGAAAGGTTCATTAGCAAGCCATGCCAATTAAAATCACGTGTGTCACATCTAATGAGCTTTAAAGTGCCCCACCACCATTTTTCAGTATGGGGATGCTGACACACATGACACTGGAGACTGCTGGAGCGTAGTGATGACCATGCTCCAGCACACTCGATTAATCGAGTCTGCTCCGACACGCTGGATTTACAGCACATCAAAGCAGCGTAGCTGCATGTCTATAGGAGCCCTTAGACATTTCTTTTGCTAAGATATTGATCATTTTCAGGTTCATCCACTGCTAAATTTCATATTCTTGGGACCCACATACCAGATGACAGTAGCAAGGCAAATCCTTATTACTAATGACCGTGAGAAACGGTGATTCCAAATGCAGTAGGTCAGATGATGGAAATTTAATGGCTCATCAATTTCTCAAGTACTCTGCCTTATTACGATCTCAAAATGGGAGGAAATCTTAATTGCATAAGATATGAAACTTGTGCAAAATGAGCTGACAGACTCTCACAGGAAGAGCTGCTGTGAAGAGCTTTGCTTTCTAGGTCTGAAACAAATGCAGATTAAGCTGACTCCTCATCTATGAGCAGACTCGACCGATGCGAAAGAAATGCTGGGGGGAAACATCTTTTGGCTAGATGTGGATTTCTCATGGGTTTTAACCTGTCTAGCTATACTGGCTCACTATGCTATCTGACCACCGCTTTCTTATGCCCCTCAGTTATGTTGCTGCAATTTCGAATGGGATGTTTCCAAACCAGTCCACAGGAGGCAGCTGTGTAGCCCCCTGTTTGGGACATTTTGCCTTCTATTTTGGGACATTTGGGACTGACCCAGCTGCTCTCTTATATCCCGAATTCCCATTTTGAAATGCACAACTGCTTGACTCTTAAGTACCTCTTAATCATTTTGCATCTTCTTGGCAGATTTGACTATAATAGAAAGACATGTCTTGTCCTTAAAAACTACTACTTGCTGAATTATTCTACAGTAAAAGCTCCAAAATTGACTTAAAGGCTCATGTATTCTTCAGTACTGGTAGTCACTAGTGGAAAATACTGTAATCTCTCTTTTTGGGCTCAATCCAAAACACAGCTGGTACCACGGGTCTAATTATAAACCTCCCAACCTTGACCTGCTTCTCTCTTTTTTTTTTTTAAGATGCGAGGAAGGAGGAAGGGGAAAGAAGTCAGGAACAACAGCTGTCATGCAAAAGAACAGCTTAGTCAGCATTATAATGAAAAACTAAAGGAAATATTTCCTTGCAAACACTGAAAAAGCACCGATTCTTTGGCGATCCACTAGGTGCATTTCCATAAGGTATTCTGTGTCTCAGAGAAATCGTAACCATTAGCTTCTCTAGTTGCCATAGAGACTATCCTTTTTTAATAACAGTAAATAATTATGTGCAACTTATCAGGTGATTAGTTGCTTCGAAATCCCACCGTTATCTTATACACAGCCCTGTTTATTAATCCTCCAGCTGTTCCTTCTTTCCCTCTTCGTTTTAAAGCTACCTCTTCCTCATCTTGAAATTAAGATCTCTATGCATTTGCATGGCACTGAGGCAGAGATATAGTGAGAAAATACCCTGGGTGAACTCTAAGTGGAAGCTTTGCTGGAACATATATGGTAGGAAACTCCTTCGTAGAGATGGGATCAGAGTTGTGACCTCAGGCCCAGCCTTAATGCATAATGTGAAAGCATCACTGCTCCCAAGGGATGTCCAGAAAAACATCCTGCCTCCGAGCTACTCCATTGAGTCATGCTTTATTCCTGTGTTTTCATACCCTAGCAATATGCAAAGAGATGGCGTAGTCTATACATTCTTTGAGTCATGCAGACCATAGCACCACTGACGGGTATAAGCTGCATTTGAGCCAATAGTGTTCCCGTCAGCAGTGGCTATGCCGGGAACTGCACCATAACTGTTATTTTTCCAGTTTATCTCAGTAGAATATCAGTCCTATTGGGAAGGTAATGATTTACAACTCATTTAGAGCTCTTATATTGACTAAAATAAGAAACGTCCATAAAAGAACATGGAAGGGGCAAACAAACATTTCTTCATTTGTAAAATGTGCATCCCACTTCAGTGGGGGCATTTTCATCCAGGCACAGATATTACTGTGGCAGAGGTGGGAAATATCTTCTTTTAATGGTAAGAAAACATGTGTTTGACTCAGTTTACCTGGTCACTCTATTGGTACCTTCTTGGTCTCAAGCGCTGAACTTCTTTCCAGAGACACTTTTTACATGAAGGATACATGATCTGGCACCCAAAGTATCTGCCTCTGAGAGAATGATCATTAAAGACCATCCACAAATCAAATTGATCCATCCCATAGAACAAGAACAGCTGCAGCCAGGGTCAAACCAGCCCTATTCCAGCCTGTTTACAAGGGAATTAGGGTTTGAAGGCAGGTATCTTCCCTACTGGGCTAGCAGCAACCAGATGCAAGCAGCGGTTTTGAAAAACTCAGCCTCCCAGGGCTACGGTGTACATATCTTTTGTAAAGTCCAGAGTTATGTCTGCGCAGCACCCTGCCAATCCTCAAACTGCCATGAAAACACCAGTCTCGCCCATTTTGTCCTAACCCAAGCCTAGCAATTAGACAGGGTCGATACTGGTGCACCCAACTCTCTCCCTCTGACATAGTCCAAGGTAAGCTCTAGCACTGCTGACTTCGCTTCTTGAATTTCACAGCCTGGAAACTAACACTTAGAAAGAATCCAAGATGTAGACAGTGAGAGCATTCCTTTGCATTTTACTAATAACATTTCTCCAGATTTTCTGATGGGCTCTCCTGCGTTTTCTACAGATAAGAAGTTAACATAACAGAAAAACTCTCAGGCTGGCATGCCTCATTAAAGGTTGTTTCATTTCCCTGCACAAGGGTGGAATATGTTGTCTGTGAACCAAGAACAACGTATCATCTGAGAGGATTCAAAGGGGAATTTCTTCCTGGGATGCTCTGAAAATACAACTATCAATTGTATTTACTGTTGACAGAATGACTTATTTAGTGGAAATGATTTTATGCAAACCAAAATCTTTCTAGCCTTCACTTCTCTCCGAATTTATTTTTTGTTGTTACCCCAGGGATTTTTTCCCCCCACCGTGATCTTGAATAAGCACTTCCAATTTCACAACAGATTTCCCTAGACATAGGGGAAAGCCAATCAAAAGTGTGCATATTTGCATAATATTTGCATGCTAATAATAGGGAGTGTTTTAAAAAAAACAACCCAACTTTTACTCTTTTCAATGGGCAGATGGTAAGCTTAGTTTCTCTCTGAGCTTGTAGAATTAGAAGGTAAAAAATTAGAGATGTCCCTCCTCTCCCTCTCTAATGTTCCTCCCTGTCCCTGAAACACGCCTTTCTCTTTCCCGTTTCTGTTTCCTTCCTCAGTTCTGGCTCTTCATCTCGAGGGCCTCAGCCTTTGTGTTTTTCTGCTCACTTCTTCTCCTGTTCCCTGAGGTTTGAAGCCCCATTGTGTGACATTTCCCTTCTGTTCATCTCCTCTTTACCTCCAGCTTTCCTCCTCTGGAGATCTTCAGAGTTGATGTTGCTACTTGGCTCTGCTACAAGCAAAGAATGGTCTCCAGCTGCGAGTGAGGTGATGATATAAAAAATAAAATCTCAACAGTTGGCCAAGATGATACAGTTGTGAATTGTATAGAACTGGATGATAAACCAGGTTTCCCCCACAAAAAAACCCAATGGTCTCTCTTTCATGGCCTGTTATTGTGGTGACCAAGTAGGGGTGCAGCACTTGAACCCTTTAAAAAGTAAACAGGAACAATTTTTTTTCTCTACAGTTTCTGCAAAGGCCCCAGTTTGCAAATGTGATTAATTATATTAGTTAAATTAAATACCAGTAATAATATTAAACAAAAAAGTAAATGTGATGGCTCTAGAGATACTGGTGGCCAGGCAGTGGTGGACTGTAGACTGCTGGCACCAAAGGCTTTGTTTTTGTCCAAGCTGTGTGTGTGTTTTGGGGTAGGGGGGAGCCTCACTAATCTCCAGAGGCTCTGGGCTTGTGGCTTAGACAAGCTGAGAGTCCAATACATCTTTGTAATTTCATCACTGTCCTGTTGACAATCTGCATTGTCATGCACCCAGCATGTGGTTGGGCCAAGGTTGTTGACTGACTGAGTTACAGGTACTCGAGATAGAGTTGTGACCAGTAGACTAGGCATGAAACCAGTAGGCCTGTGTGAAGCAGCTAGCATTTGCTTTGGATTCAGCCAGTTCGGGGGCCCGTGATTCGATTTGGTGATTCAAATCGCTGTCCCAAATCAATTCGGCCAAATGTGATTCGGAGATACGGCTGCTGCCAAATGTCTGAATCTCCAGATCACCCAGGCCCACCCCCCAACCTGCTCTCCGAGCCTGGCAATAGGTGCCTCACCCCCACCAGCTCTCCGCACTTTGAAACCCCCCCCCCCACACTCAGTGTCTGCCTGGCAGGGGGGCGATCCCTGCTGTCTCCCACTGCCCCACACTGCATGGGGGGGCTCTGCATGAGCCCCTGACCCCTGCCCACTCTCCCAGCCCCCCCATGGCTGCCCCGCCTACCCCTTTAAGAAAAAAAAACCCCAAACCCCTGGACTCACTGGTTCCTGCCTGGCAGGGGAGCAATCCTCGCTGCCCTCCACTGCCCTATGGCACATGGAGGCTCTGCACAAGCCCTCCCAGAGCCCTGAGGCTGCTGCAGTGGGCAGAGAGTCCAGGGTTTTTTTTTTCCTTAAAGGCCTGGAGCTGGGGCAGATGGGGCAGCCATGGGGGGGCACAGCCAGTGGTGGGGGGTTATGTCAGAGCCCCCCATGCAGCATGGGGCAGTGAGGGGCAACAGGGATCACCCCCCACCAGGCAGCACCTGGTGAGTGCAGGCTTTTATTTAAAGGGCCAGGAGCTGGGGTGGGTGGGGCAGCCATGGGCGGGGCTGGGAGAGCAGGCAGGGGATGGGGCCTGGCAGGGGTCCCCCAATAGTCCTCTCCCCCCTCTCCAGCCTCCCTTCCCCTGCCCACTACTTACCAGCTCAGAGTCCCACTCCAGCTCCCAGCTGCAGCAACCGGGGACTGCCCGAATCATTGAAGCTCAATGAATCTTTTCTGAATCGATTCAAAGAGCTTCGAATCAATTTGGACCTTTTTACTGGTCCCCGACTCGATTTGGATTTGGAGATTTGGCCACCAAATCGGGTCGAATCTCCTCCGAATGGAATCAGCACTCAAAGCTTTGCTCAGCCCTAGAAACCAGCGTATCCAAAAATTGCAACTCTAGTAATCTGTGATTTCTCTGTAATCTCGCAGGTATGTCCTCTTTTCCTGGGGTGAAATAGTGGTGAAAGAGGAACCAGGTCTGGCAGGGGAGCTGGATACAGAAGAAATTGTCAAGGACATGAATCCAGATCAGGCTGGGGAAGAAGGTAGGAAATTGCACATGGAATAGATATATTTATTGGATGCTGCAGCTGATAGGCCTTCTGGGGGAAGTGGCAGAGATACCCCAGTGAAGTGCACCACTGACTGATTCTGACCTGGAGATTTCCATGTGCTTTCAGTAGACCAGTATGCCTGAAGAGCCGCAATCCCCTACTAGGCAGGGCTGTTGGGGCCCAAATGAGAGCTGGTGTTTGTTTTTCATTTGGAGTTGTAACTGCTTAACCTGCTACCCCCAGGGTATTTGCAGTCTTTCCCTTTCTTGCCAGCCCTAGTAGATGGCTGAATGATTACTGCCAGGCTGTTATGGTGTTGAAGGCGTCTCGCTATGGGTGCATAAGCAGGAGTTTGAGACCTGTACCGGATTTATTCCAGAGGGTCCCATTGTAAATCAATGCCAGGTCATTCAGGCTGGGATCTCAAAGACATCCAGATGTCATCATGAACACAGTGATTTCTTGCATGCCAATTTCTGTAGCTGGTGTCACATCTTAACCACACTAGCCCTACGGGTTGGGTGTGGCTTTAACTTGGAGCAGGTAGTCCAACCCATCAGAGGCAGCAGAGCCTTGCAGCTGACAAACCTTACATTTTAGTGCTTTTGTTAGAGCCTCTTTGGTGGCGACGCTAATGATTTTATTTAGATATGTATACAGGGATTGCAACATTTAAACAGCTGTCCCGGTGCACTGCAACTGTATATAAGTGTTCATTACAGAAATGGAAGACACATTCCTTATCTATTAGAGATGTCAGGACAAAAATTTAATTGGGCGTAAATGGCTACATTACCATACTGGAAGTGAGACAGGACCCATACATGGTATCGGGATAGATTATACTTGTTCAGGTACAATTGGCTTGGTTCCTTGAATATATTGCCCTTACCCTATGAAAGCACTTGTTTGTGTTGTGCTAGCAATAGAACAGATGGAGCTTTCACTACAAGAAACAATGTCCCATTTAATTTTGTCAAATATGTAGGGGAGAAAGTACCTCAAACAGATCAGTTATTTGACTTTTGGCTGCAGTATGATAATACAATAAGGCTCCTAGATCTTATTTTTCTGCTTTGCAAGTCAAAAAGATAACTGTGATGACAACTTGCATTGTGTTGATTCCATCAAGAAGTGCGCTGCTTCTGTTCTGCTTTGATGGCCACTTGTATTAGGTTTCAATTTGTCAGCCTGGCCATGAGAGTTGTGGGACTCAGTGGTACGTTTGTCCAAGACATTCACACATAAATAACTACAGCCACAAATGTGGGAAACCGCCAGATGAGCAGACATAGAACGTTTTGTAGATATAAAGTCAAACTATACATACATTGGGATCAGCATTTTCAACAGAAAGTAATTTAAGATTCACACATGCAAATTCAACACATTCACATGTCTCACACCGATGACCAGGGATCCTGGTTTTCTCCAATTAAAAAAAAAATCTCCTTTTCTCAGGTGAAATGAAAAAAGTGGGAAAAAATGAAATGCCACTACTATATATAGCTATATGTATATGTCACAGGACATTAAGGTGCCCGCTCCTAGAAAAGCAGAAACTGCCTGGGGAGAGAGCCCAAAGAGAAAGACAGAAGCCCAGGTGCAGGTTACCAGGGCAACAAACCAGAAGGCAAATTAGCCTGCACCTGCACATGGTCAGCCAACCAGAAGGGGCAGGACCATGGGCCCATATAAACCCCAGGCTGGAACTAGGGAGGGCAATTCCCTGCTAGCAGCCAGAGGGGAAGGAGCCTCCAGGAAGGAAGTGCCCAGTGACGCAGCAACTGCCTGATATGTTGCACCTAGGGCTAATGGGGCTCCATGAGCTCTGCAGGTACCCTTGCCTACTAGACACTTAGTGCTGGGAATGAGGTTCAATGCTTTTAAAGGGGCAGAGCACACCCTGGTCGTTTGTATTATGTTATAGTCCAGAGGCTTATGTTTGTTTGCTGTTTATAACACTGGTGGTTTGGGTGAGGCTATTTTGGGAAGGAGGAGGCCTCATTGGGGGCCCACTGCAGCGTGGGGACCCCAGCACCAGAGAGGGCACAGCATTTGGGGGGGGGGGGCACAGACCCTGGCTCCAGAGAGAGTGTGGCATTTCAGGGGGCACAGATCCTGGCGCCAGAGAGGGCATGGCACGAGGGGCACAGAGACAGGGCTGCAGAGACCAGGCTGCAGGGAGCCCAGGGAGGACAAAGGAGCCCAAATTGCAACAAGGCCTAGACAAGACAATGTCGGTACCATCTGTGAGGTTTGGGGCGTGGTAAAGGGGTGGTTTGGAGCCACGCATATAGCCCATAAGGCTCGGGTGCCCCAGGACATCTATTTTGAAATGGGACCCACAAGTGGTCCGGGACCCATGGGGTTTAGGGAAGTCCATTAGGACTGTGCCCAAGTAGGCTTAAAGGCAGCCTCCCTATTCATTACAATTACATCAAGACGTGGTGGGAAAGAATAGAGGGTGCCCCAGTGGGCCAAATTGGCACGGTTGAGGGGCCTTACGGGTCACACAGACATCCTTGAGGACCCCATCCTGTGACGGTATAGTAGTGGTGTTTCATGTTAATCACAGAAAAATGTGGATTTTGAGTTACTTTTTTTCAGCTGGAAATTGGGGATTTTTTTTAAATTGGAGAAAACCAGGATCCCTGCCCATGACAAATAAGATTATTGGATAATTATTATAATTTTTTTAAACAAGTGCAATGGAGATCTGCTTAACACTCTTGCTTGCTTCTAAGCCACTAGATGGGCTACACCCTTCATTTCCCAATCCCTGAGGCCAAATTTGTCCCAGGAGCCGTCCCACTTTCATGTGATTCTTTTTGTCAGGTGTTGTGGACTCTCGAACTGACCACCTAATGGAAACGAAGATGGATGTTCAGTTCCAGTGATTTCTAAGTGTGGATACCCTAACACAACACTTGGTATTGGTGTCGCAGGGCACCTGGGTGCCCTGTTCCTTTACAGAGCTGAACCTGCTAAGGGAAGAGCCCTAGCAGTGAGTGGGGAGCCCCAGCTGCTGGTTACCAGGGCAGCTAGAACGAGCTAGTCGCCCACACCTGCCAGTGGTCAGCTGACCGGAAGAGGCAGGGCCTGGCTCATATATAAACCCCAGGGCTGGGGCCAGGAAGGCAGTTCCCTGCTGGCAGCCAAGGGGAAAGGAGCTCTCCCAGAACAAGCATAGGGGAGAGGTCTGACTGCACGAGCAGCTCCTGATACTGTTGTGGGATGGAGTATTCCCCGGTAGGGTTTGAATGACGTTATAGCCGGGCGGCTTAAGTTTGTTACAGCCCAGGGACTTGTATTTTGTTTATTGTTGTATAACCCTGGTGGTTTGGGTGAAGCTATTGGGGGAAGGAGGAGGCCTCATAGGGGACCCACAGCAGCATGGGGACCCCAGCACCAGAGAGGGCGCAGCATTTGGGGTGCACCGACCCCAGCGCCAGAGAGGATGCAGCACTTTGTAGGGCTGCAGAAATCCCAGGCGCCAGGGAGGGTGTAGCACTTTTCAGGGCCATGGAGATCCCAAGCGCCAGTGAGGCACCGAGCGAGACAGGGAGAGCCCAGGGAGGACAAAGGAGCCAAATTGCAACAAGGGCCAGACCAAACAATGTCGGTACCATCTGCGAGGCTTGGGGCGTGGTACAGGGGTGGTTGGAGCCACGCATAGCCCATAAGGCTAGGGTGCCCTGAAACACCCATTGTGACATCTATTTTAGAGCAGGACCTGTCAGGGGTTTGGAAACCCACGGGGTCCAGAGAGTCGAGCAAGACTGTGTCCAAGAGGACTGAAAGGCAGCCTCCCTATCAATCATTCGATCAAAGATGTGGCAGGCAAGAATATAGGGTGCCCATTGGGCCCACTTGGCATGGTAAGGGGGCCTTGGGGAGATCATGGCCATCCTACAGGACCCCATCCCGTGACAATTGCATCAACATATTGGTGGTCAGACAAAAGAATGTTGTTGGCCATTGAGCAGATTCCCCACTGTAGAGGAAACAGTAACATCTTTCTCCATGCTATAGCTAGAGTTTGGACAGGGACTTTCACAGGCTGTAGGCAATGGCTACTCTTATATAAGCCAGAAGCAAGCCCCTCATCTTCCCCTGTTTCATCTGAAGAGGAGAAATTAAAAGCAAACAAAGGTTGTTTCACATGAGAATTACTCTTCTCCCTTTTAGAGATCAGGAACAGGTAGACTGTGCATCACTCAATCAGAAGCTTTCTCTGAACCTTGAAATCTCAACGAGACTAATGTTGGGGGCAAATACTGACATTTTTGTTCAGTTCTATGTTTGGCCTTCTAAGGAGGCAAGTGAACACTGGGGTCAGTTGTCATTTATCGTCACAAATAAGTATTCAAACACAAATCTTAATAAAGGCCAAAATTGGAAGCCCTATGAGGAACAAGTGCTGATTACATGACAATACAGGGGTGGGCGGGTGTGGGGAGGGGCAGGGCATGAACTTGGCTACAAGAAATACTAGTGCAGGCATTGAAAAGTATCATAAGATTCTATTATTTTCAACTGGAGCTGTGGTTTAAGGTGTAGAAGTGTAACATTTAGGATATGACACAGTAGGACTGGAGAAGAAATGAGGTATTGTATTTATTGATTTTTCTTTATAAAACTACTCTCCATTCCACATCCCTCACTTAAAAAAAAAAATTAAAAAAAAAAATCCACAGCTGTTGCTGAACTGACTGAAATGAAGATGAAAGTTTTAAGTAGTCAGAGCTACACTGGAACACCTAGTGAAGATACATTTAGAGCAGTTTAGTTAGCTAGTGAGTAAAATCTAGTATTAGAACCCTAGAATACTCCAGTGATTCTAGAGTATTAGTATTAGTATTAATATTAATACTCGTCTGGTGGTTTGTCCTTTGTGAGCGAAGAAAACCCCATCCAGTGAGGGGGTGGGGAGAAGAGAGAAAGAAAGTGGGAAAGAAAAGGGAGGGAGGAAAGAGAAAGGGTGAAAGAGAGGAGAAAGAAGAGAGAGGAGGGGGGTGGGGGCTAGGTTGCATGGGTACGTAGGTGATTTATAAGTCCAATCTTTGCCCTAAACAATCTGCTGCAGCAGGGGCAGGGGAGCGATGAGGACTGGACACGAGAGGTCCTTGTTTTCCTGGCCATGCGTTTCCTCATTGCCTCTGCTGTGCACTGCTGCTTGAATGATTAATATGAATTATTAACAATAAACAATGTTTTAATTATTATTAATTATAATATTAATATTAATGCTAATAAAAGGGACTCTAATTAAAGCACCCGCAGCATCTCATATATTCAGCATTCTGCATTTCAAAATGATGGTGGGGACACTTTAACTGAAGCTTGTTCAAAATGCCCTGGCCACCATTTTGAAGTGTGGGGGGGAAAAAACCCAGAGGCTGCTGGAGCATGCTAATTAACAGACTCCAGCAAACTCAATTAATTGAGTAATTACAGCACATCAGTGTAGCATCTCCGCATGTCTACAGGCACCCTTAGGCTTGGTGCAGACATTGCACATAAACCAGTATCAGTGATGGGAAACTGGTCTAAACCTGTAACTGAACAAAAGTTCAGCACACACAGACTGGTTTGGAAATGGCAACACCCAGTCTAAGACAGATCTGGATGGATATAGAATGAGACTTAACTGGTTTAGGTTAGAGCGCTATATTGAACTTCTGTCCCAGAACTCATAGTGAATCACTTTAGTTTGCTGTCCTTCAGCATCCCAGATGCCCCTTGCAGGGTGGCATGCTGCCCTCAGCCAGTGCTCATCGGCTCTGGGTGAGCACCAGGCCAGCCCCATCCCCAGGCTGTTACAGACAGAAGTCAGAAAATCCTCTGTCTCCTGCCTGCGCGGCCAGCTGGGGGAGGAGGGGAGGAAGGGGATGGAGCCCCACACTGCATGGCCCAGGCCCCGAGCCAGCACAGTGAGGGGAGTATGCTGGGGCACGGCTACATTCCCCCACCCCTGCTTGATGCTCCTGACAACTCCTGGTGCTGGGAACTGGGTGCAGAGAGGGCAGGGCAGCAATCCCTCCACCATGTAGGCCCCCCCAGCTTGCTGTCTTTGTCTTGGGTCTGGGTGGGGGAGCTGGGCCAGGTCCACACAGTGGGGTGGCTCCACTTGCCCCCTCCCCACCCCGAGGGAGCTGTCAGGCTGCCAATGTCAGGTGGGTTGGGTGGAGGGAGGGGAGACCCCCCTGCAGTGTGGGTTTGTCCCCGAGCCAGCACAGCGGGGGGGCCCGTGCACCCCCCACCCAACCCGCCTGACAGTCATGTAGCTTCATGGCTCCTGGCTGTGGCTGTTCATGGGCCAGGAACTGCCCCCCCACCCCCAAACACAGCTGGCAGGGGGCAGGGTTGGGGAGAGGGGCCACGCTGGCCCATCAGGTGTGTCCGGCTGCTCAGTGGCTCGGCTGGGCTTGGGATTCTCCAGCAGCCTTCGGGGAGGCGTGAGAGCACCCCCAGCCTCCTGCCTGTGGCTAGCGCAGGCCACCTGCTCATCCCCCAAAGAGCAAACGTAAGTCCTGTCCACTCCCAACGTACTCTGGGGCACTTAGAAAAAGCCACAAAAGTTAGTATGAATCTAACCTGGCCTTTTTGAATGTCTGCACCTAGCCTGAATTCCTGAGACCTGCCTCTGTTTCTCTTTCACATGCATACAATGTTATCAAGGTGGGGAAAAATGGCAACAGCAAGCATGCCAGTCAATTAAGGATTCCAGGGAAAAGATAAAAGCAGGTGAAAATGCTAAGCAAAGTAATGCCAGTTACATTTCCCGTGCCAAAAAAGCATGTGATAGCCAACCAGAGATGGCTTTCTCACTAAACACCCTAGTGGAGCTAAGGCACAGGTTGCTTTTTTTACTTCAGTGGAGTTGGGTGACATTAAATTACGTGGAGCTGTAGGATTGACCTCAACTCTCATAAAGCACGAGGAAAAATGAATGCAGCTTCAGAGGTGTAATGACACAGCCAAATGCCCAGGGCAAATATTGCACACAGGGCATCGTTGTGCCACTCTGGCAGCAGCATTTTTTTCCTGCCATTCCCACCCTCCCCACTGGCGCCCACTCCCCACCCCCTAGTTACACCTCTGTGCTATGCAACTTGAGCATGCACGACTCGGTCCGGGCATTGCCAGGAGCCCTGCACAGGTGGGACCATATTACTGCACTTTCCCTAGAAGAGACTATTTGTTTTGACACTCTCCTATTTGAAATCCCTTTGATAACAACACTTTTCTGTGAAATACTTTGACCTTTGACAGAACTGCATTTTGCAATGGAAAACCTGTGATGCTGAATTTTTTTTTCCAACCTGTTCCTGTGAAGCAGCACAAAAGCTGCTCTTTCATGTTACTTAAGATCTAGGTAGTGGTAGAAAGGCATAAAAGACACTGGTCTCACAAGACGCACGCACACATATGCACATATGCACGTGTACACATACACACACGCTCAGGCTTCCTTGCCTAGATGCTTGTACTCATCCTAATGAATTTGCAGCTAATTAAATGGTACAGATCATAATTTGTTTAAAAAAAATGTAGTGGTGTTGCAGCCCAGATGGGACATAAGAGAAGCAAGATTTGTGAGGGGAGGTAATATCTTTTATTGGGTTACCTTGTACAGTTGGGATATGCATCAAGTGCCCTTCATCAGGGTTGGAAAGAAACAGTCACAGTTCAAACTAAACATCAGTAAAACAAAAAATGTTTTAGTTTGGCCTAATTTACTTGATGGCTTTGACCACTTCAAAGGGAAGTGGATACTTCACACCTGTGAAGCAAAGAGGAATTAGCAGAGGAAGGAATAAGAGCTATAATGAGCCATAAAACCCTACCTCTGTTTTAAAACTTGCCCAGTAAAGTAATGAATTTCTTTTTCCAGATCCATCTTCTGAAGACGTTGTGCTGGTTTCTTTTGAGGACAAGGACTGCGGTCAGAGACACTGCCGGAGAAGACTATCACTCCATCATCTTGGCTGGGCTGTAAGTGCTTCATTTCCTGACCTCCTAATGGGTGCTTGGAAACTTGTCTGACACCTCTGCCAAGCAAACACATTGGTCCAATAAAAGATATTACTTCACTTTGCAAATCCTATTTTGGAAAACCATTGGAAATGGGGTGTGGGGGGTGGGAGTTTCCTCTGAATCAGAAAGGCAAATGTAATGCTGAGCTGTATTATGTTGGAGAGAGAGAGAGACAGTGATTTTCCTGTCTGCTAAAGCTAGCTGTCCCCTGCAATCCAAAAATATATATACTGGAACAAATGCCCAGAGAAGAATTCATTAAATTGGCACTGGACACTAACAGCTATAAGCAATAAGCTGTGTGGATGTATACAGGTCAGATTTTGCTAGACAAAAACTGGCAGTTGCTTTTGATAAAACGTAATCATAGTGGATGGAGAAAAAAGCCTTTGTAAAGACTTGAGGGGCAGTATTGACAGGCGCAGTGGATTATCGGATGCTTCAGTAGATCAGAAGCAGTACTTTATTGAGTGAGCCGACTACTTTTGCAAAACTTTAAGTAAGAAAGTTGCTGCCCCCCGCGCACCTCCCAAGAAAGCTTAAGTACCTTGCTGATTCAGGGTCTAAGCAATTAAGTAGAACAATGTAGATTTAACTGGATCTGTGATGTTAAATACATAGAAGGATGAGATTAATCTCATGAGTAACATATATGATGAGTTATGGTGATATAAATGGATGACATGGATGCAAGTAAAAATAGATCCATTGAAGGTAAAGGAGACAAATCAGTGTGAAACCAGCCTGGGATCCAAATCAGTCCTGTAGTGGCAAATACAGGAAGTGGCAAAATGGCAGCGTTTAAACTCAGATCAGAAAGATTGGCGAACAAGGTGATTTGTATGTGTTAGGAATGGAGATCAGATCTGGTTTGCAGCTCACGCGGTTACTTCTTGGCTGGCATCGCCCCTCTAGGTTGCCCATGCACCTCATGTCATTATGTCTTCCATCCACCCCAGCAGCAGAGCTGGCAATGCACGACTTGGTAATTATTCCATTAATAATTCTGCTTTGAACTTTTTATTCTCAGCCCTCTGACTCCTGCAGTTCATTTAGGAGTCTGCTCATGAAAAAAGCATTGCATGGAGATATTTTTCTTAAACTGTGGCTAGACCAACGCGGGGAAGATAATCAAGCAGGCTGTTATTTGCAGGCAGCTGTTTAAAGAGACTCTTGTGATCAGCATCCAGCCCTGCCTACAGGCCACTTACGCATATTCCACGTGGACAGGGACTTTCAGGGGATATTACAGGACTTTATAAAGAGAATGAAAGTACTAGACCAAGAATGGTTCACTGCTGATGGTGTATAGAGAGACAGTAAGTCTGGCAACATAGGTCATTTTTATAGATGCCCAAGAAGATGATGATCATGTCCTTTAGCCTGGAAGCACTTGTGTAACTGAAGCATTAAAAGGGAGTACTTCCAGCACTAGTTTGTACAGACATTTTGCTTTTAATGGATCAGGTGTATATCGTGATTCTGAACCTGTTCTATTGAAGGTGCATCATTATACAGTATTTCTTGTGGCATCTACCAACATTTTAGAAGGGAAACATACTGTAACGGCAAAACAAAGCAAAAAGTGATGGCAAAGGACTTTTCAGTAGGGGAAATAACTGAAAAATACAACATACTACTTCCTGTAGTGCTTCTGTTAAAATATGGTGAAGGAAGAAGCGCTGACTTGAGAACTGGGGCTTGGGGGGTCTAGATTCAGTTCCATGCTTCGCCGTACAATCCTCGTGTGACCTTAATGAAGGCTACATCTACACTGCAATCCAAGAGACTGATCTCAACTCATGCAGATGCATCTGAGCTACCATTAAGGTAGCTTGCTCAGCTGCAGAGGGCAGTGCTGTTGGACCAGCGTGGAGCTCAGTGGTCTGAATGTTTATCCAGTTATCTCAAATTGGACCCAAGCTATCTACCTGATCCAGCCTTGAGCAGCAACCAGGCTGTCCAGGCATACCCGGAGTCACTGAATCTCACCATGTGCATTTTGCCATTTGTACAATGGTGATGATATCATTTGATCTCTCATCTTTTGCTTTTATCATCTACCTGGTTCTTTGGGTCAGGGACTATCTCTTACAACGTGTGTGTGTGTGAGTGTGTGTGTGTGTTTGTATGTGATTAAGACAATAAGGCACAGAGTTGGGGCCTCTAGAGACCACTATAATACTTATAATACACTATTATCCTCCAAAAAAATGTTTTTGGAAGCCATTTCAGTCAAAAATGTTTAACTATAAAGTACTTCTTCTGTCATTTCAACGAGCAGATGTACTGTAACTGCTCAAAATATAAGGTTTGACAATAATTATAATTAGCCACTTTTGCTTGAATAGACCTTGTAATTTGTCTGATTTAAGTGCTTTTTCCACCCAAAAGGCTCCTCTGTGAATTAATGTGCATAGAAAATAAAAATACCTAGACTCGGTGACTGTAAATTACTGGCGTGGAGATGCTAGCAGCGCAGGCAGTGTCTAGTCCTGGAAAAAAAAAATTAAGGTTTATTTTCTAGAGTTGACAATCTATCATCTCCCACAATGACTACATTCATCATATAAAAGAACCCTTTGGTGTATAAAACTGCTGTGAAAATCAACCCTTTCTTTCAGATTTTGGAAAACTGTTGATCTAATGCTGCAAATCAGAAATAACTAACATTTACGATTTTTTTTTCTCTCTCTCTCTCAGTAGGAGTCTTGTTGTAATAGAGGCTCTGAGTTTTCCCATAGCTTCAAAGATAGAATGTGTGGGTTTCAGAGGTGGTCAGGCATGTGTTCACAATCTGCAGTGCTAGCATGGATAACTGTAGCTATGCCTTTCCACAAATCCAGTGTTTTGGAGCTACCCTGGGGCTGCTCGGCAGGTGAAATTCTGGCTCCCTGAAAGTCAACAGCAAAACACCCATTGATTTCAGTAGGGACAGTTGTCTTAAAATGATATACTAATCCAGGGTCTTCAGTTCTTATGTCTCTTAAAGACTGCAAAAGACTTTGCACAAATCAGGTCTGCTAACCCTAGAGTCCTGTGATGGTTTTTTAAATTAGGTATGCCCCAATTCTTTCTACAGCTTTACTGAGACACAGCATTCAGCATAACTTGCATTGTTGGGCATCGCTTTAGCCGGGTCAAAATTTGACATGGGGGACAGTATAAACAAGTCCCACAGAAACCTTATTGCATGTATCAATAAATTCCACAGACACGAGCAGGAGAGATGACATCTGAGCAGCATTTCAATACTGCAGCACTGGGCTTTGTAGAAAAAAATGGAGAGACCTGTTGGTTAGGTATGCACACAAAGAGTATACTTCAGTAATCTGAAGTTGGTTTCTGCTTAAATTTGGGGAATCCCAGTAATACCAAATGCTAAAGAAATTTCAGTGGTTAAAATAAGCAACTGTCTGGGATCGTTGAGCTGGGGGGAAAGGGGATAGGAAAGGTGGAGGGTGCTAAGTTGCTGAAATCATAAGATGATGGAGCTAAGAAGCTACAGCTGTTATGCAAGCCACTTCAGGCTAATGAAACACCACTGCTATAGAGCAAGTGCAAGGACCACAGTGATTGGAGACCCAGAAGGAATTAAAAATGACAGGAAACTTAAACCGGGAAGACAGGGTTTGAGTCAAATGAGTATGCAGCCAGTGAACAATTAGACTAAGTTGCTTGGTCATCAACCCGCTTCGAATTTTAATCCTTCAGACAGACCCTGTGTGTTGAAAGTGACTGGCCTGGATATCCATGCCACAAACTATACAAAAATCAGGTGAAAAGAAGAATCATCTGTGTGTGTGTGTGTGTGTATGTACATATACCTATTGTTTTCCTGCCTCTTAATATTACAAAGAAGTGGAGGGAGGTACCGTTGGTACAAATGAATGCAGAATAAGCCTGCAATTTTAGACACTATTTTACAACTTAGATGTAGCTCAGGGCTTTTTTATGATGGGCATTTTGTTTTTATCCTTGTTTTCAATCCATTTTGTGCAGCAGCCTCTTCAAAATGTAACCATTTCAAGCAGAGTAGGAGCCCTGAATAGAAATTGTAATCATTGTGCAGCTATATTATTTTAATCTTATTATTCATATGCCCTACTTACAACAATAGTAATTACCTTGATGCAGGGCATTTCCTGGTGCTCAATATCCAGCTGGGGCTTTATGGCATATCATGGACACTCATGAAAAATATCTCTTCATCCTGACCGTTATTGTTTCAAGGGTAGCTGCTGGAAAAGCACACTTGCCAGGTGTCGCCCAACCAAACTTTTCCGGGCCCGATTCTCATGATTCAGTGACCGTTACTGAATAAACCTGTCCTGATATATCTCTTCGTATGCTATTTATGTATGGTGCTTTAATCAGCACAGAAGATTTTGCAGGGGCAACTTGTTTTTTTGCGTTTGCTTTCAGAGTCCAAGTTTTTAAGGAGCAAAGCAAAGGCCATTGCGGCGATAGGTCAGAAACTAAAGACATATTGTACATCCGGGTTTGCAGAATTTAAATGGAAAGAATGCACTTGAGGTTTATTTTGCTTTATTTATAGGGTCTTGTAGCTTACAAGTACGAAAGCATTTCAGAGGTGTTGGCTGGTCTAAGGACACGGGCAGACAAGGTGGTTTGTGTAAATGTGATCTCTTTTATTAGACCAACTAAATAGTTGGAAAAATTGTTCTTTGCAAGCTTTCGGGCACAAACACCCTTTCCCCTGGTTTGAAGAAAAGCCAATATGCAAGATGCAGGTCTGTTAAAATGCAAATGCGTGACTGAGGATCAGGAGAAAAGGGGGTAATGTTGAACTGGTGATAAAATGTAGCTGGTAAAATGTACAGAGGTTACCTGGGGTTATCATGTTATAATGTTCCGTAAATTCAATGTCTATATTTAGTCTCCTGCATATAAAAAACCATGGACTAAATACAAACATTGGATTTATGGCACATTATAACCTTCCTGCCATCAGATAACCCAGGGGCAGGCAATTATTTTGGGTGGAGGGCTGCTTACTGAGTTTTGGCAAGTCACCGAGGGCCGCGTGACAGGCAGCCAGAGGTAGATTAATATTCATTTTCTAAATTTTTTAGGGGCCCCACGGGCCAGATAGGATGTCTTGGTGGGCTGCATTTTGCCCACCCCTGTACATAACCCCAGGTAACCTGTCTGCATTTTACCAGCTACATGCTGTCACCAGGTCAACATTTCCCCCCTCCCTATCTGTCTCACACCTATTGTCTCCTTTGGCCTCTAATCCTCACTGCGGCACGTTTGCATTTTCACAGACCTGCATGTTGCATATTCACTTCTATTCCATCCAGGGGAACACAAGACGCCAACTCTCCCTATGCCTGAAGAAGGGTGCGTGTGCCCGAAAGCTTGCAAAGGACACATTTTTCCAACTATTTAGTTGGTCTAATAGAAGATATCACATTTACCCAAAGAACCTTGTCAGAACATTTCAGAGACATTTACAAAACTTAGCTTCTCAGAAATACAGGTAACATTATCGACTCAGATTTTACAGATGGGGAACTGAGGTACAAATAAATTATTCTCAGAGAAGCATATGATAGGTAGGTACAATTCAACTCCCTTGCGCCCCTTTGGCCATTCTAGTCCAAGTGTGAACCTTACCGTCCACAAAGGAAATCTCCATGGAACAGAACCTAGATTTATCATCACCCCTCCCTGCCCCAACACGGTATTATACCGATCTGGAAGCAATGTGGTCCTAATGCAACAGTCAAGGACAGCGGCATGAAGGAAACAACAAATGTGTCCAGAACACAGGTAAAATTAAATGGTGATATGTTCAACAATTTATTTTCAGTGCTTAAATATGATGATTAGGAGCTGGGGAAAGCATATTCCATGAAACCAAGTCTCCATCTACGTTACCTGCTGACCGCTGCACAACTGCTGATTTGGACTTGGCTGTTGGGAGTTCTGGATCTTCTGTGTTCTGTCTGGTGCCAAGAGGTAAATTCTTGACTTTGCCGTTATCCTACTTGTGCAGTCATTTCATTAGCCTAAGCACTGCTGTTAGCTGCAGCTGACATGATCCATCTTGCATCCCAATGAGCTGTTTCGCACAGATCAGAGCTTCAAATGTGGAGGCATAGAATTATTTAAGAAAACATTTGAAAGGGAAGAGGAGGGGAAGAGAATAGAGAGTAAGAGGAAAAAAGGGAAGAGAAGAGAGAAAGGGTTTTATGATCATATAAATCTTAAATAAGCGATAGTGCTATGCAAGGTGAAAGGAAATGAAAATGCCAGAGCAACGTGCAAATACGATTAAAGGACATTAAAAATCCATTGTTTCCGGGAGCCAAAGTTAGCTTCTTACCATTAAGGATATAAAAAGGGAGGGAGAGTAGAAAAGGAGGGAACTGGAGAAAATTCTCTAATAGTCTAATCTTACCAAAGAAATTCAAAGTTTGTGTTTACTACCTTTCAAAAGGGCGATGAATATAGGCTATGGTTGGCATGAACAGCTTCTTCTGACAGGTAGGCACGATTTGTTTTATATTTTGCTTGCCTCTCTGAAAGCTAGCCACTGGGGGAAGAAAAAGAACACTGCTACTGTGCTATAACTAAATATCTATTAAAAAGAAGGAAAAGAGGTAATCTAAGCCCCCATGAGCTCAACTAGGTCAGGATATAGGTTACCATTTATACTCCAGGTAGAATCCACTTGCTTTACAGTGAGGATGTGGGCAAAGTCACTCAGGTCCTATAATTTCTTTCAAAGAATGAACAAATGCCTCCACAGATGACTGGAGAAGAGTCTTTAGCTGCTCAGCATCAAGAATGATGAGCTTCTCCCCTGGCCAGAGACTGCAGAAACAATGGAGACAGAGTAACATAGCTAAGACTTGGCTGAGAGAGTGCCTAGGCCTGGGCTAGATGTGCCCTGAGTGAATTTCTTCTGACTTGCACACTGTGCAAGTGAAGAGGGAATCAGAGCAATAATGCTTATAAAAGCAAGAAAGGATAATGCTCTCTCCAGGAGACGTCTTGCAAATGTATTGTTTCACTTCAGTATCCATTTTAGGAGGTATTCTGAGATTTTGAGGACAGATGGAACCATTCAGTCTGACATCCAGCATAATATGGGTCACAAGCTGTTAGACCCCTACTCCACGTGGCGCCCAACGACTAGGGAAACGATGATCCAATTGCTCATGGATCCTGGTACCCATTAGCCAGAGCAAGCAGGGAGCAAACGTCAGCACACACAGCTCGCAACAGCTTTATTCAAAATGGAGACAGCTCCGGACTAACTCCCTCGCAGACACACAACCTGTGAAACCAGGGGAGCCGCAGTGAACGTTAGTTTTTTTTCATATTTTATACACCTTGGTTCATGCTCATTAACATTTACTCCACCTTTGCCCCTCCTTTGGTTCCACCCATATTTCCTCCCCT